GGCTAGCCCAATCGATTTTGAAACGCAAATTTCCCTCCATAGATAAGCCCCTCCGAATATAAGCCCCTCCAAAAAAAAGCCCCTCAAAAAGGGCCTTTGAAAAATGTAAGCCCCGGGGCTTATTTTCGGAATTCTAGGTATATCCTTTGGGCCTTTGGTGTATTGGAAACGATGGCCGCGATTTACAAAGGTAGTGACAATTATCTCAGCGTCACGGTTTCCTTGACCTTTTTTTCATTTTCAAAGTTACCGATTGCTAGCGGGGCCTTTATTTCAACCTCGCTCTTAGGTTCCTCTCTCTTGAATGAGGTGCTTGCACATGACGTCATGGAAGCCGTGTGTATGTATCCAAATCAATGTTTAACAGTTAGATTCCGAAGAGGGAGTGTTTCACGTTCATTTGGACCCGGTGGACTACGCCGACTCGTCAATGGTGTTGTCAAGGGTGTTGATGTGGTGATTCTTCTCGACATTAAAGGAGTGGTCATTGGTGTAGCGCGCGAAGCTGGTATTCCCAAATACGTTTCAGGCTGATAGCGCTTCATACAACAGCAGAGAATCCGACCAAACTCGCGTCGGAAGTTCTCAGAAAAGATTATGTACAAGCAAGGATTAATCGCACTGTTTAAAACACCAATCCAGGTGAAAAAGATTACAACTTCGTCTGAATTAAACAGCTTGGCAGTTTCCTCGGGAAAGTAAATGAGCATAATTTCCCGCGCTTGTAACGGAAGCCAACAAACAGCAAAAACCACCACAACCGTCACCAGCATTATGATGGCTTTTTTCGTGGTTTCGTGAGCTTTCTTTTGATATTCCAAAGTTTGAACGCCCGGTAGTTGCCGCTTGCAGAGTTTGATTGCTATAAGCGTGTAGGCGACGGCAATGATAATCAGAGGAATCAGGTAAGTACCAAGAAAAAACGACAGAACGTAATTCTGTTTGGCTTTTTTTGAGGGCCATCCGTACTCGTAACATTGATACTGTCCGTGCTTGTAGCGGACTGTCGTAACCACGACAAGAGGCATGGCGAAGGCTGTAGAAAAAACCCAAGTCGCTACCAAACACATTTTAAGAACTTTGTTGGTGAAAATACGTCGCATTGGAAACCATATAACGACACATCTATCCAAGCTGATAAAGACGAGACTCATTACCGAGCAAGCAATGGAGAGAACTTGAATAGAGTGAACGAACTTACACAAAATTGTTCCCACAATTGTATCAAACCACTGTAATCCGACATACAACCATTTCAGAACGTAAGGGAACACGCAAGCCATTAAAATGTCACCCACCGCCATGTTGGCTATAAGTATATTGGTCGAGTTTCTCATGTGCTCTCTCTTATACACGATGTAAATGACGAGCGAATTTCCTGCCACAGATACAATGAAGACAATTACGGCATACACTGTGACGCCTACGATGTAGCTTATACTAAAGTTAAATGGATTGAAGTTGGATTCGACAGGAGCTTCGTCCGTCGTGTTTGAGGCATGATTTGGAGCTGTAAGAAATAAGCAATATATTAAAAACTCCAGGTATACAAAGTAAAACGAAACTTTGTGTTTAGTATGATAAATAATGATAGTTTTGTTGATGATAAATTTATAGGTGATAATGCTGATGATGATGATGATGATGATGATGTTGATGATGATGTTAATGAGGAGGATTCCAGTGGATGCTGATGACGAGGAAGATGATGACGAAGTGGGTGATGATAATAATAGATATGATTGTGATGATGATGATGACGACGATGATGATGATGATGATGATGACGACGATGACGACGACGATGACGATGATGACGACGATGATGATGATGATGATGATGATGATGATTATGATGACGACCACGACGATGATGATGAACGCGAGTAAAGCAAGCGAACTGAAATATCTACACGAATAGGCTACGGACTGAACAAGGAAACATACGATTGATTACTGCCATATGAGGTGCAAAGGACTTACCTGTGGTTAGAATGGAACTGTTCATCACGGCGAGTCAGAGGGTGTTGGGTCCCACAGCTGGTCTCAATTACTGATTAAAAAAAAAAAGTCAGTTAACGTTGGATTTGAAAATGACCGCGACGACTGCTGATCTCACAAACAATCACAGCGATACTGAAAATTGTGCAATGAAAAGAACTCTTTAACGATCGTGTTGATCGCAATGATGTGAAAACGGTTCGGTCCCCAAGAAAAGCTCACACTTCATCATTTCTGGCTGTTCGTTCTCAACTGGTTCCCATTTGGTCGATACGTTCGCTAATAACGCCATTGCTGGACTTTTTTCATCAATCGTAGCGATGAAAATAAGGTCGATCATAGGGAAGTTGTACCGATCATCGATCGTATGGAAATTAGGCTT